CCCCCCCATTTTTTTTTCTCTTTCTTTATATTTATCAAATGATATGTTTGTATTTTCTGAAACACCGCTATATAATCCCTAGTAAGAAAATCGTTCTGTTGTAGTGAGAAATCTGGGCATGAGCGGAAATAGTCAACTTCAGTCTCACCTTCATAAAACTATCAATTTTATTTATAAAAAAAACTAATTTCTAAGGTCCGTTTATCTGTGCATGATCTAGCAGTTTAAAATGACCGACACACAGACTAACCAAGTGAGGAAAGTATTTCGCATGAAATTTGAATAACACATAAGATAAATGTCATATAATTAATAAGTGTAAATGTTATGCAGATATTCCATTTAATTTTTATGAAGACTTATTATAATAATAACCCTAGTATGTTTGAATTCATTCAGTGACTCAAAATCAAAAATATCTATAACTTCTAGGAAATCTAGGAAAATATCTAATGATATTAAATATACACTTTATCGTCAAATCGTAATTACAGTGTTCATGTATGGTAACATTTCCTTCTTTTTCACCTCAACAAATGCTCAGAAAAATGTGTTTGTTCGTATAAAAGAAAAAATACTAACATGTCAACATAACCATAATCCAAACTCAAAATGCAATAAAACTAGGACAAGATATGAACAAAATAAAAAGAAAAAAAAATTACGCGGAGACTCTTGTAAAAATACAAGACTGCGTGTTTTATTCTTGTAAATATTTAAGTTTGTTTAAAATACGTCATTATGTTTATCGTAACGTAATGATTATAACGTACAAACTGACATTGATCTTCGATAGTATCTAGAATGATGTAGTGTTTATATGGTACAAGTGGAACAAAGCTTATTCCTTTTAAGATTTCTACTTATGTACCTTTCTTACCATATAAGTTGAAAAACGGAGATAAATCTAATTGAATTCAAACCTATGTCCAAACGCAAGAGAGAATATGTAAATCAACCCGATCACTTTCTCTCACAAACGAAGACATGTACAACTCTAGCTCAAATTAACAAAATGGCTGAACTTATTAAATGTCAAACAACAGAGGTGTTTGGCTGGCATTGAAATATAATTGAACCTAAAACTCAATACTGGAATAATAATAATGATGGTGATTGTGTTTATGTTGACATCAATTCTTAAACACATAATTCAGTACAGGATGTTTAGAATATTCCATTAAAATCAGGATTTGGAATATTTGTCATCCTTGCATCCCCATTGTATGTTATTTACATGCCATTCGATATCCGCGAGTTTGTTACAAATATCATGAAGACTTTTACAACAGAAAGATAAACTCACAACACATAGTATCGAGAGATGCAAGTTGAAGAACCTCTGGTCTGGTCTTATTCCCCTTATACTTTTTTAAGTAGTATTCTTGTAATCTTTGGCTCATATTCAATTAGGTGTGATGGAGTAGGATTGACTTTGTAGGAGTAGGAATTAATTTTGCCCAATGGTTCAAGTGAATATGTAGATTAGAATATAATTTAGCACTGTTTCTATCCATCTTACACGTCTCTATGATACTGATGTTATGATCCTGTGCTTTTGATAGATTGTCAGGTACACACTGTTGAACCTACATCATTAACAAATTTCGCTTACTAGCTTCCCAGAATACCCGATGATATACGATGTATTATTGTATATTATGTGAAATATATTTTGCATTTCAGAATGGACATCACACGTTGAAAAAAAACTTCCTTTGTGGAAAAATAGTTATATATATTGGATGAAGCACTACACAACGAATAGTATGATTCTTGTATATGAAAATTTGAAAAAAAACGTTGCATCAGAACTGTTAAGAATAATCCGATTCCTCCAAATAGAGACTAGCCCGAAGGACTTCTGGTGTACATTAGTAAATAAAGAAGGGGACGCCCATAGAACACCGTTGAACACGGAAACCAGTGTGTTCAATCTGTTTAATGAGGAACAAAAGAAAGCTGTGATTGAAGCTGTGTGTGACGTTGCCAGGTTTGCAAAGAAGTTGGACTACGATTTGGACCTTTCTCAATATCTTGTGAACCTAACAGTAAGTCCGAATACCGCCTGCGATTAAGATAAACTACAGGATTTTTATCCGTGGGCTTTTATAATATTAATTTGTACTTTTCGGAATCATTTATTGAGAGCTTTCTGTGCATGCAAATTATACATACATACATATGTATGCATTATATCGCACATGTCACGTGATACGAAAGTCTACCTAAAATTGGATTGATGAGGCTAAATATTCCATACTTTCTAGCACATACACGTACTACACCGACTCAAGAACATCCATTGCATTTGTAATTTGTTTATTTGATTGTTATGATTATTTATGGTTAATTCGGAATACTGTAACATTTTCGTAAGAGTTTTATTTTCGTAGATTTCCAGGGTACTGTTTATTAACGGATTCATTTGTCCATAAACTGTGGAAATTAGCATATGTAGATTTATTGAGCTATATTTATCCACAAAATTAAAAGCCCTCAGTAAAATTTTTTTTAAAACAACAGTAGAAGTGAAGGAAACACATGTATGCATCGTTTAAAAGACATTATATAAAAAGGCATACCAACTCACATATTATGGTAGATTTTAGCTTATTGCTTATATTTCTATCTACAAATGACGCTTTTCATAATTTTTGGATGTGCATTATATATTGTGAAAGAATTAATGACCCATTCATAATTCAGCTGATAGCGCTATAACTATTGTATATGTAATATATATAAGTAATATGGTTTCTGGGTTTTTGTCTATCTTTCAAATGATTAGAGATGGCATTTTTATATTACTTGTTCAATTTTACGTTTCTTTAATACCAGCTTACTTCTATGATTATTACTTTTGCAATTTGCAGGTACGCAAACAGTCGCGGCTGTAACCATGTTTTCTTTGCTTTCGGTCGATATTATTTCTACCCGGCCGAAATCAAAGGTTCCTGGTTGATACATATTCGTAATATACAATGCTAATGTAGTTAGAATATATAAATGTCATCAAAGTTTTAAGAAATCATGGTATCATGATCAGAAGGTGTCATGGGAAGGCAGTGCTGAGTATCTCAGAGCTATGTAAATACATGTATGCATGCAAAGGTATCAGTAGATTTTATTTGCTGTTTTTGGTGTGAGTTAGAGGACTAAATAGGAACAATGAACAAACAAATATAAAAAAAAACACAATAATAAGACACCATTCATCTTATACATAATATATACATATAGAAGTTTTCTTAATTGTGTTTAGTTTGATGTTATGTATGTAATAATGATGTAACAATATATGTTTATTATCATGATATCAATATTTCATTTTAACTATTTCTAATACTGGTAAACGGAGCTCTATACATCAAATGCTCATCTTTTTATGGAGCAGTGGGCAAGGATTTTGTATTTGATACTATTCTTTTGATATTCTTTTAACTAGTAGGGGTGGGGGTAATGTTGACTATATTTGATTGTTTCTCGTACTTTTATTTATATTATATATTTCTACATTTTTTATTTAGCATGTGATATATGAATATATGTGAACTATTGGGGAAAATGTTCGTTTTGTTGCTGTGGTATCAGAAAGCCTAAAAAGATAAGCTGGAAATATACGATTTCTAATTCTACATGGTAATTTGGTAAGGTTATTGGGATTAACTACGACTTAACTCGAGTAAATTGTACATTTTAATGTATTTAATTTATTGAAGTTTTATTGTAGTTATACCTCGATAACCTCAACAAAACACAAAGTTGTAATATAATACGTTCGCACTTCATGACATCGATAAAAATCTCGATTGTCACGATGGTACAATATTATGATCAGCTATTCCTACAAGGTGGTTATTCAGATGTCTATCATTAAGAGTGCTATTTCAAGGAACTTCATGAGAGAAATTCGGGTCGCCTCCTCATGTCGCCAGAGCGCTGATGTTCTTCGGTGAGACAACACCTAGAGATGGTAAGAGTTACAGAGATGGCAAACCTGTAACCAGCCAACCAATTCAAAGACCTTATCGTTACTGGTTGGTATGTTGATCATTTGGCTGAAAGACATGTAATCATAGCAGATTCTGATGGATTATCAGGCGTTACCAAAGAACGTCCCAAACATATCAAATTGGTGAAAAATCAGGGCATTTCAATAGCCATTCGAACACCAGGTATCCATTGTTCAAAGACTGAATACAGATAACCAGCGGTTAGTGAACAGTTTCATGTGTTAATAATACATAACATAGGGACCATTATGTTTGTCCGAAATTTCATTTCGGTGGCCATTAGTCCAGTTATAACGCATATTCCTATTATTTAAAAAAAAAAGTCGGATATGTATAACGCTTCAATGAGTTTTTAAGTCTAGAGATTTGACCATTGTCGATTAAACTGGCTGAATGTGTAGACGATTCTACTTTATATGCATCATGTTCATCACAAATAAAAATCCAACTACAACAATAACATAATCTACTTGTGTTGAGGCTTTGTGCAAAGAAAAGTAACTTGGTTACTGGTTACTTTGATTGTGCAATGACGGTTTTTCTAGGCTGACAATTTTGTGATCTCTGTAACCTTAACCTCAAACATAAGCAATGAATAGTTTCTGTAATGATGTGACATGCATACTATTCTTCGTTCTCTTTATACATTTTTAGGGGAGTCGTTGTAAATCTTTCCTTTTTCCTCCAGTATTTGTACAAGTTTCATCAATTCAGATCTAGCATCAAAATTTTATCAATATGTGTGTATTGCATTTCGAAAACAAACACACATAGCAAATTACTGTACTACTGAATAAATATCTTATGTTATATAGGCTTCTTAAATAACGGACAAAAATATGCAAAATAGAATAGCAGGTAACAACGATATGACTTCTTAACGGAAAAATGATTTATATGTTTTTCGTAACAAAATACAAATCAAAAGAATAGGAATATACTATGTTTTTATTGTTTTTCATTAACATAGTAATGTAGATAAATTCATGACATTACCCTGCAATAGGACCATTATGGTGGTGGTGTCCGAGCTCTTTGGCCATATGCTAAAATTGATAGTGAAAAACATGGAAATGTATACTGATTGTAGACAAAATTCTTAAATGTCATAGTAGGTTTTGATGCAATGTCATATTAAGTGTAAATACAACTCTGGAAAAATATTTAAGAAGGAGTTGGGTGTAGGGAGGGAATGGAGGCTTAAGAAATGTAGATATAAATGTACATTGTTATCTGTTATGACACAGATTTATACTTACTGAGGCTAGATACTGCAGGAAAGTGTGAGTCTCAGCCGGTGCCGTGATATCTGAAGAATGGACACAACGTTTTATTTAGATCAGTTCGAAAACAATTATTTAACAATGTTACGGAAATGTCATACTTATAAGAATGACGTGAACTTTTCTCTTATAAACAATAATACTATCTTCAGACAAAACTAGTTTAGTCGGGGTAATAATTTCTGTGCAGTTCACATGGATATGACTGAATCTATTTTCTCAAAATGGCTTATTGCAAGTTTGGTATAACACCAAGAGGTTTTTTGGCAGCACTTAAGTATATTAATTTTTCAAAGCATCAACAGAAAAGTCGTCAGTACAGAATTGAGCTATCAGAATTAATATTTACTAAATGTATAACAATGATAACTTACGTTCCACCAAAGCGAGAACCTTTGAGTATCCGACTTGGTCGATCAAGGCTGTAACGTTTCCATGCTCGGCTGCCTCTTGTAATATTTCTGATACCTAATTTGTATTTTTTAGTTTATGTTACGAGATCCAGCATCAAGTTTTGATCGGAGCTGGAAAGATGCTGGAAAGCGTCGTTACTGTTGATGGTAGCGAGCACGCTCTGAAGATCTCTACGGACCTAACAAAGAGATATAAAGCCAAAACGTGTTTTTAAAAGTACAGGTTGTATAACAAAAAAGGGAGTTACAGATGATACGAAGGTAAGAAAAATTAGTCCTACCAAGATGATGATATATGTTTTTATTTGATATGAAATTAATGGTAACAAAGAAATGCGAAGAAGAATAGACGAACGATGTCAAAAATAAAACATCAGTAAACTTTTTCTATAAAGCATGATAAAAATTTGCAAATATTTTTGCAAGGTGATGAAAATTGTGGAATGACGGAATTTTAACTCTTTTTACAAAAGGATTTAGTTACATGTACATCACCTCCGAAAATGATTGTTGATATACCGTGATTTATTTTAAGGCATGCTAAAAAATGGTAAATCAGTAACAATAGCGAAAAAGGAGTGACACATGCATGAAAGATATAAAGATATAGTGATGTATATACAGCATATAGAAACGGGGAAACCTTAAAGAATAAAAACTTTTGCATTACAGGAAATGGATAAATAACAAGACATACATAAATGATTTTCATTGTTTTTAACTGAAGTGAAACATGCTAAACATGTGGTGAACAAATGTACACATGATATGGACAGACACATGTCCATACTTACCGTTGCTGCAGTTGATGTTTCTTCTTCTCCGAACTCCTAAACAACAGGTATTAATTACATCATCATGATATGTTTAAAGATTAGGCACCTTTTGAATGTTTATAAGCATACATTACGTTGTCTTAATCACGAAAATCCAATTGTGGGGAAATAATGCTCTAATTCCAAAATCCTGTCTTAGCGTTGTATGCTTAACACAAGTTGACAATTTCTGTCGCCCTAATGTCTTTCTCATCTTCAGCAAAGTATGTTTAGTGCCCATTATAACAAACCTTGGTAACTTTCTCAAGTTACTTTTTACTATTTGATACATTTTATGCTCTCTCAAAACGGTGAATTTGATCAAATGAAAACGAAAATTGTCGGGAAATTTCTCGTATTTGATATATATAACGCCTTTTTTTGTTATTAGTGTTTTCTAAATCAAGAATATAGGCTGCTTTTCGAAAATTACCTGTATAAGATATTTCTCCAGTCGATGTGCCTCATGCTGGTTAATTTGGTTTACATCTACAAGAAATCGTTTCGCAAGATTAGTCAACACTTAGCAGAGTAAATGTGTTTAGCAAAGTTTGCAATATGTTTAAAAATCAATAAGTTTAGCAACATATCAAAGTTGGATGCCATATCAGTCCTGCATGCTTTGCAATTCAATATTTGGTGCATTCCTACTTAGCTTTGCTGATATACTACCGCTAAATAAAACAGAATTTTTCTACAATATTTCGGATAAGAACCTCTCTGAATTTTAATGTAATACCTTGAAAAATCATGTGTTCAAAACATGTTTAATATCAGATGTATAAAAAGAGTTCATTCTTTCTGAAAAAAAATGCACGTTTTCGAGCAGATTTTCTAATTGTAACGTTTCTTTTGTCTTTCACTTTTGGAATATTTGATACCGTTATATGCACTTGTCTGAAAATGTTATGAACTTTGATTAATAAATGCATTCCCTAGCTCTTGAGTTAGCCATTCTACGTATTCAGGTATTACTATTGACAATTGTATTACATTGCTGCGATGTAACCTTACCAGAGTCAGTTGTGTATTACCAGCCCATGAACTGACAATAACGTAGGAATATTGCAAGCAATATAAGAAATTTGATGTTGTTTTCCCTATGATCAGATGTAAATTGAAAATGGTGAAAATATAAACATTGGATTCCTAAACCCCGACATTGAAATTGCCCTTGTCCGTTTGGCATTCATATGCCCATGAATGTCAATTTAAATCATTATCAAGTTATTAATTCACTACGTCTTATAATAAGTATGTTTGCATGCAACACTTCTTGAATGCATACGCACGCAATACTTGTTCATGAACATTATTAACTTACGGTCAAGGAATTGCAGGATTCTGTCGAAGCCGACCCTATCAACATAATGAGTGACAGTGTTTGTCTTTGCCGCCGCTACTAATTCCACAAGTATGAGCTGTTCAGTTGCGGGAAGATGATGGAAAGTATGGCTACTGTGAACAACTTGTAGTTCAAGAAGAAATTGTTCGTTTGGCGAAATGGTCGGATCTACAGCAGTTGTGTACACAAATAGCGACACCAACACAGCGGGAACAAACATCATCATCTAGTGTAAAATTTAGCCAAAGAGTTTTAATTAGTTTGGTGTTCTCACATTAGTTCGGTTTTCTTCCACAAAAATAAATGTTGCATATTCCTTCCCTAACGAACAAGGGCGATTAGAATAAGCCTAAAGTTCAAACAAAGCAAACTATGTGGAAACTGTAGGGCAGATAAACTTCCGTAGGGAATATCTAACAGAGATGAGGATAAGATATAAAAATGGTATTTCCCGTTTCATATCATATAAATGTTTGATAGCATATTGTTAAATAATGACATTAGAACAAAATACACAAGGAACAACATATTTACTCACAACCACCATGTAGCCAAACAATTCACCGAAATAATAACTTATATCAGCTAACAATATACACAAGAGGAAACATCTATAACGTCAACACTAATGTACATTATGAGTCGGTGACGTTTAAGTAAGTATAAGTATTATAATCAAGATTGAAAAAAAATAATCAGCTTATGGAGCATTTTATCAAAGCTTGACTTTTCTGTTCAAAGATAGACAGATGACGTGAAACAGGTGAATATATATCAACAGCAACATCGAAAATGGACTGCAATGTATGACAGCATCGCAGTCCTGTGGCGTATTTTTTTTGCTCCGTCTTTTCGGTTATATATCAGAATATGATATTGATTATGTTGTAAGTATGTTTGTACATCATGGTTGCCATTGTAGTTACCATGTCTGCCATGTTATTCGTCATTCAATAAAATGACTTTACTGGCTGTTTGTCTTTCTTGGTTTCTATTGATAGATAACATACCCAAAAACATAGCTCAAGTCGTGACTCAATTATCGGGATGGAAATTATAAATAATCGATTATAAAATATTTGAAAATAAATGTAAAAGTAACTTTCGTTATTTTCTAATATATCGAGTAACTCATAACTTTGGATGGAAAAAAGTTTCAAAATAATGAAAAATGATATTGATTTAACCATTTCACCAAGATTGTGAAGTTAAGAATCCTTACCGTTATGTTGAGAATAGAAGGTCCGGTGTAAATGTGGCAGTCTTATCTGCCACTGCACTATATATATATATGTGTCTGGTGTTCGTAAAACGTGTCTGCTTCGACGGTCAATATATCAATCGCGTACTGAAAAAAGACAACGCATGCTCCGCAAACGTGATAATACAAATCGAGCACTATCAGCGCGTTCGGCATTTTGGATAATACGTAGTTTCAAAAAGTATTCAAGAGTTTAACAATTGAAATTTTACAGCAATGAAACAACGATATCAATGTGTTTATACAAAGTAGTTATCGTTGATTAAATGGCAAGACGGTTAGTTTTTCGGAAATCAAAGTTTCAATATTTTCAGTGTATGTTTGTAATATAAACCATGAAAATAATCCATTACTCACATATTTCCATCTTAAGCAGTAAGTTTTGTTATTGTCATGTTGCACTAATCAAAGTTACACTGATCTCTTTGGCTAAATCGTTCTCCATCAAGATTTGCAATGTTTTACTTAGGATATTCAATCATAAAAAAGCAACTAAAAATTACCAGCATGAGAACAGAACATAATTCAAACTAAAATTCAATAAAGCTACGAATGAAATAAAGATTTACAAAGACTCTCCTGAAAAAGTACAAGGATAATAAGATAAGTTCCGGGAGAGTAAGCATCTTCTGTTTCACTGACGACACCCGCCATATAAACCTTGGTCAATCTGTGTAAGTAATGTCACGTTCTCAAATGAGAACAAGGTAAATAATAATGGAACAAACAGGCAAACTTACAAGCATTAAAACACGTTCAGTAGCTTCATGTCGCAAAAAGAAGCAGAATATTTCTGAATGAGATTTTCATGACGACTGTAAATATCATTGTTCAAATAAGAAACCATGGAATCGCAATGAATATTACATTAACGCTTTCAGACATAAATATTTTCAGATTGTGACCAACCAACGCATTAATATAATGTAAAATAAAAATGGAATACCAGTGTAACGTACCGACCTTTGTGTTAAATGATAATGAATTTGTCAATGTTGACATACCATTACATTATATGATAATTGTAAAACGTTAGTGCCAAGCATATATCTATCCAGAGGTACACTTTCAAGGCTGTATATCGATATCTATCTTTCCTATCTTCTAGTTACTTTAAAACGCGAAAGCGAAGAATAGTTCTTATATATTTTCATGACGTGATTAAATATCATGCTGACTGTCAATATATATATTTTTTCAAATACAATGTTCGCCGATGATGTAAAATACTCGCTTGATATCTCACCACAGAAACCATTCAATAGAATTAAAGTGGAAAAAAATAGTTTCAGAATTATGTCATATTCTTACCTCATAAACAGTCATGAACATCATTATTCAAAACATGCAAATTTGATTAAATTATTGGTTATTCAATATGATTTCCTCTCAAAGGTAAGGCGTGTTACCGCCTGTTTCGACCCGAACTAGAACAACATTAAAGTGGAAAAAAATAAAGGCCTTTTTCAGATAGCTAGTCCCACTGAATATCCGTTATGTAAAGTTACTACCTCGAACAATAGACACCAAACATGGAGGCTTAAAATGCAATTTTTACACACAGCTAAAAAATGTACAATTTTTGATCAGACAAAATGTCTTATCTCAAAATCTGGTACCGAAATAACGAAAGATTGGTAAAGGGATAAAATTAATTCAAGGAACAAAAACATTACTGAAAACATCTTATGTACGAAAATCTAACAGAAACTGCGTTCAATTTTGAATCGGGTTTTCCTTTTACATAGACTTTCGGTATGTTGTAACTTGTGAGGTCACTAATGGTTCATTGTACAGCTCATCCCAATGATATTACGAAATAACCCTTTCATGTCTTCATATTCTTTCCATGTCGCCTTAACACGTATAATGACCTCAGACGCTGGAACGAGTATGTTAACAAGGGTTATGAAATGCATTAACATACGTATAACAAAAGAGCCTTTGTCACGATCAATACTTTCAAAATGTTTGTATCCTTTACATTGTGATAACGCGATGTTTTTGACTTCCGGAATCCAACTAAACCTGAAATTTTCTGAATGCCATATGCAACGGAATGACATTGAGATCGCTATTGGAGTATCACACTGTGATTATCTTAATATGTAAATCTATAATGGATATTTCCGTTGTTAAGCTGTTGTAGATAAACATACACTTGTTTCGCGTTGTCATAGGCCTTTTAGGCATTTTAAGTACATGATATTATCAATATATATATATTTTTTTTTTCAGCAGTCTCTAAGGTAGCAGGTCTCTAAGGTAGCAGCAATTTCCTTTTTTCCTGAAATTATTTGTCGTGTTTGAGATATACATGTATAGCAGATTGGTTATAAAAAAACATCATTACATGTATATATATTTATAAACTACATAACAATTACATTAACAGTAGAGAGATGAAATTTGTGTAAAAAAATAATTTCCTCTGATTTCTGACATTTGATTGTCATGGTTACCTACTGAAAAAAATGCTAAAATGCAAAAATACTGTTAATTACAACCAAACGCTACAACTTTCTAGAAGAAATTTAATTCTAAACACCTATCTTACAATCAACAACACTGTCATGGTAACAAAGTACTTACATTTCAGCAAAGTCCAACTCGGAAATTCTTCATAACATGACCACATGTAAACAGTATGAAAATTTCACTTCCTGTAAAGCTAGTTTTTGGTGCGTAGACACAGATTCGAGACTGCCCAAATAGTAATCTCCAACACAAAGCTAAAATATTATACCGAAAAAAAAAATGAAACCTCATATTGTCCACTTAAACATGACAGGACCAATTTTAGCAAGGATTTTTTTGTTCACTTTTAATTAAAACCTTTATAATGGGGTAATCTAATGAGCAAAAAAATCACCCATGGCCACACCGAGAAACTGTGTACTGCTACCTAAATCGCCAAACTATCGATAACACCCTTACATAGTACACGCTGGTTTTATTGAAACAGGACACTTATATATTTGATTACAGTGGACACTTGTGTGTCTTTTCTACAATCTTTCATCATTCAATAATTTGAAATGATCAATTTACTGATCAGAGTATACCCCCTCCACCTTTTTTTTTTTTTTTTAATTTATCAAACGATATGTCAGTATTTTTCTGAAATACCGCTATATAATCCCTAGTAAGAAAATCGTTCAGCTGGAGTGAGAAATCTGCGCATGAGCGACGCGTTATGTCCTCAATAGCTGTATATGTTTTCTATGTCATTATGTTTATCGTAACGTAATGATTATAACGTACAAACTGACATTGATCTTCAATGGTATTAAAAATGATGTAGTGTGTATATGGTACAAATGGAACAACGCTTATTCTTTTTAAGAATTCTACTTTTGTACCTTTCTTACCATATAAGTTGAAAAAACGGAGATCAATCTAATTGAATTCAAACCTATGTCCAAACTCAAGAGAGAATATGTAAATCAACCCGATCACTTTCTTTCACAAACGAAGACATGTACAACTGTAACTCAAATCAACAAAATGGCTTAACTTATAAAATATCAAACACGAACAACATAGGTACTTGGCTGGTATTGAAATATAATTGAACCTAAAACTAAATACTGGAATAATAATAATGACGGTAATTGTGTTGATGTTGACATCAATTCTTAAACACATAAATCAGTACAAGATATCTAGAATATTCCATTAAAATCAGGATTTGGAATATTTGTCATCCCTGCATCCTCATTTTATGGTATTTACATGCCATAGGTGATTCGATATCCGAGAATTTGTTACAAATATCACGAAGATATTAAAACAGAAAGATAAACTCACAACACATAGTATCGAGAGATGCAAGTTGAAGAACCTCTGGTCTGGTCTTATTCCCCTTGTACTTTTTAAGTAGTATTCATGTAATATTTCTTTTGTTCATGTTTTGATTTGGTTTGATGGAGTAGGATTGACTTTGTAGGAGTAGGAATTAATTT